GTTTTTGGGCATAATTTGAATGCCATATTAGGGAACCCGAAAAATGAACGCCGTAAAACGGGGGCCCTTTCCTTATGTGTGTATATATAATATATTTAAATAAATAAATATATTAAAAATATAAAAAATTATAAATTAAATATTAAAAATTATATATATACTGGACCCCGCATAACATGGGTTTGCATACGATTTTTTTCCCCAAACGATTACTTTTTTCGCAAAATTTTTTCCGGCATACCGTTAAAAACCCGCATACCGATTTTTTCCGGGGACGCGTCCAAAGTGCCCTCAGCCAGCCTCACATGTGCCGCTCCGTCCCCTTGTTTTCCACCAGCCTCCGCGGTAACATCCAAGCATACACTCGGAATATTTCGTATTATTACAGTATTTTTCGGTGCTGTTTCTGGAAAATAAGTGACCATGGGCCCAAGAAAGCTTCTAGTGCCAACCCTGTGGTAAAAAGGGTGAGAATTAGTATGGAAATTAAGAAAGATTTTGAAGGGTTTGGGGCTAACCCTGAGAAGCCTATGCCAGTTGTGGAATCCATTGTGCCTACTTCAAAGATTAAGGAAATGTGTGCAGAGTGGGTTGAACTGTCAAACCTTTATAGATGAAAATCACCCTGACACAGCTGTTGCAAGCCGTGCTTGTGACTATTTCAATGACAATTTATGGCCCATTTTAGGAAAGTCTTGAAGGAACGGGAGGTACAGAGCTCTATGGACAGATTTGTTGTGCGACAGAGGTCCAGTGACTCTCAAGCTGTCCTAGTGGCATTAAAAGAAGAAGGGAAGTAACCCCAGAAAAGGACTTGCTACCTCAAGTCCTAATGGAAGGGGATTCCCCTTCTAAACAGTAAGAAGATAATGCTCTCTCCCCTCCTCCCATCCCATCAATCATCACCAGATCTTCAATAAAAGTAAGTGTCATGTAATTGTGCATGCCTTTTTCAGTTTGTGTGTATTAAAATTAACATTTCATGTGGTAAAAAAAAAATTTTTTCATACTTTTGGGCGTCTTGCACGGATTAATTTTATTTCCATTATTTCTTATGGGGAAAATTCATTCGCATAACGATTATTTCGCATAACGATGAGCCCTCTTGCACGGATTAAAATCGTTAACCGGGGGTCCACTGTATATATATATATATATATATAAATCCAGTACTCGGTGCATCTGCATCACTTCTTCTCACCGAGTTAACAACTTTCATCAACAACTGCCTGGCTGGGCGAATCCCAGAAGAAATTAAACCTTTCTTTTTTGGAGCCTCACTGTGTGCGTTAAGAAGAAGGATGGGGGAATCAGACCCATTGCAGTTGGAAACACTCGTCGCCGTCTCGTTGCCAAAGCAGCAGTAAGAAACATTCGCCTAGAAGCTGCCAGTTTACTCCAGCCACACCAACTGGGCTTTGGGGTCCCTCAAGGCAGTGAAGCTGCAGCTCATGCGGCAAGGGCCTACATCAGGGACCTACCAGAAGACAAGGCTGCAGTCAAATTTGATTTTAGAAATGCCTTTAATATGGTAAAGAGAGATGCTGTCTTGCCAGCTGTTCAGGATCGCTTCCCCAGTCTTTTTCCCTTCATCTCAGCCAGCTACAGCAAACCCCCAATTCTTTTGTTTGGAGAACATGAAATTCTCTCATCAGAAGGTGTTCAGCAGGGTGACCCACTAGCTCCACTTCTCTTCTGCTTGGCAGTAAGAGAACTAACTTCCAGCCTACGCAGCGAGCTCAACATCTGGTACCTGGATGATGGCACTCTGGCAGGTACTGAAGAGTCCCTGGTAGGGGACCTACAACTAGTGAAAACACAGGGAGAAGACTTGGGACTCATCCTCAATCCCTCCAAGTGTGAAATCATCGCAGCGAATCAGGAAATAATCAATGCTGTGCGAAGAATCCTCCCAGAAGTCTCTACTACCACTCCGTCCAACAGTACCATCTTGGGAGCACCGCTGGATCACCAGGCCATCGACACAGTCCTCAAGGACAAATTGAATGACCTGATGAGAATGGAGGAGAGAATAAGCAATCTTGATGCCCATGATGCTCTGTATCTCCTCACAAAGTGCCTTACTATTCCAAGACTCACTTACTTCCTGAGGTGTGCACCCTCTTTTGACAACCCAACACTCGACGAATATGACACACACCTGAGGTCAACCCTTAAGAAGCCACTGAACCTGTCACTAGGGATCAGCAATGGGATCAGGCAACCCTCCCAGTGCGACTGGGAGGTATAGGGATGCACAAAGCAACGCATGTTGCTTTACCTGCTTTTCTGTCTTCGTGTTTGGCTTCCAGTGCATTAGTCAAGAAGATTGTTCCCGAACGCTTGAGACGTGGTAGGAGCTCAAGACCCCAGGTTTACTGAAGCAGCGATTCGGTGGGACACCCTTACAGATTCCTCCAGTAGACCAGCTCCTCCCAAAGAACACAAACAGTCCCACTGGGACAAACCGATCATGGAAAAAATCACCAACACAATGCTCTCCAATGCCTCAGGAAAGGACAAAGCTCGTCTCCTGGCAGTGAAGGCACCACACTCAGGAGATTTCCTGTTAGCTGTTCCCAATTCCTCCTTGGGCACTCGACTAGACCCACAGGCCATTCGGATTGGTGTTGCTCTTTGCCTAGCCACCCCCATCCTCACCGAACATAGGTGTATTTGCGGCAGGGCGACAGCTGATCAATTCGGACTTCATGGTCTCGTGTGTCACACAGCAGAAGGGAAGTATGCCAGGCATGAGGAGGTCAATGGCATCATAAAGAGAAGCCTCACCACAGCCCGTTGCCCAGCTCAACGGGAACCCCAAGTGCAGAGGTCTGACGGAAGTCAAAAGCATCCTGATGGAGCCACTATGCTACCTTGGAAGGATGGAAAGCAGATTGCCTGGGACTACACATGTGCCGCCACATTGGCAGACACCTACTTGCCATACTCCGTAGTGGAAGGGGGTAGAGCTGCCAGCCACAGGGAGACCCAGAAGATCCACAAATATGAAGACCTTCCCACTTGCTATAACTTCATCCCAATAGGGTCAGAGACCCTTGGAGCATGGGGCAAGTGTGCTCTAAAGTTCCTAACAGAGCTGGGTGAAAAGCTCATCAAAGAAACCAAGGACCACAGGGCGACCAGCTTCCTCTTTCAGAGACTCAGTGTTGCAATCCAGAGAGGAAATGCCTGCAGCATTCTGGGCACGCAGCCCACCGCCGGGGAGCTGGACGAAGTATTCGAGATGTAGCTCTGAGTTACCTATGTTGTTTTACTTTCTATCATATTTTTGTGAATGTTTTGTCAATGTATTTTGTCTTTAAATAAAATATATATAAAATATAGGGGGTGGTAGGAGAAAATTCTCAAACAGCTTCAGGGAGAACCTTGAGTTTTCCCTGAAGCAAGTTTATTCTTTTCTCTGAGGATGAGGGCCCCTATAACAGTTCTAGAGGTGGTACCCTATATATAAATATACATACATACATATATATATATATATATAATATAATATATATATAATATATATATATATATATATAAATATATATATTATATATATATATATATATATATATATCTCTCAGGGTCACCTGAGAACAAGTCTGATGAAAAACTTATGGAATTATGCTCTCGCGAAGTTAGCGGTCTTGACGATGTTTGCGCATCGGCTATTTTGCCCACTTTGAGCCCTCTTTTTGGCCAATTCCAGTGCACTAGTCGACAAAAATCATAGCTATTTCGCTAGAACTTCATTTTTTCTATTGAATAAGTACAAGAAACCACCCATTTTCCAATTTCAACTATCCAAAACAGTGGTCAGAATTTAGCAATTTTGCCAATTTCACACAAATTTCAAAAGATGCCAATTTCCAAATAGGGTCCAGAATAAACAAGAAAGACATTCCTGGCACTAAAATAACATTTCCTCTGTTCATTAGTCACATCCCCAGGCCCCTCTTACATTCTTTTGCTTTCCACTTCAAATTTTTATTCTCACAAAAAATAGAAGATTTACTGTTATACAGGCTACTGCATTAGTGTAGAAATGGTATAAATAATATCGGCGCACTTGTGAAAGAATATTAGACTCACCAGTTGACGTGTATTGGATGCTTAGCATGATTTGTTTACTTTTGAACTTTGGTAAAAATCGAACATTTCTGCTACTTTGAGCTCAATTTCCAGGTACTTTTCATTGTAAAACTAGTCAAAATCATCCCCAATTTCTGTAATATGCCTTCCATTCTATAAAACGAGACCAGGAAAACTAGAATACAATAAATACCATATGAAAATACAGTGCAAAGTCGCTGTTTTAATCCAAAAACATGGTCAAAGTTTTTTCTTCTCATTACGCAGTGTGCTGCAGGATTTTTTTTATACTGCGCACAGTGACCACATAGACCCATTCTTTCATATGTAGGCCTACCAGCTTTCTCTCAATAGATCTGAGGGTGCTAGAATTTAGGCATACTAGTACGTCAAAAACCCTGGTGCGTAAGCCGTACTAGTACGTCTGAAACCCTGAAAGGGTTAAGTACTACTGTAACTATGTTTTGTAGTGATTTGTTTTAACTTTCAAAAGTTATTAATAAAAAATGTTAGAATTTTATGGTAGTTTTATGTTTTGTAGTGACTTCAACTTTAAAAAGTTATTAATAAACAACACAAGTTTTAATCTTGTATTTTTATGAAAAAAAATTTAATGAGCTGAAAAAAATAGTGAAAAGTTGATCTTGCACCTTGAGTAATATGGTATTGAAAAGTTACAGTAAATGTTCTTTGCTTATGTGATTCACTGCTGAGTATAGAGTCATCTACAGAGTGTCAATATGTGGTCCATGTCTAATTGTGTCTGACATGGGATGAAACAGGGCTGTACGGCAAGAAAACTACCTTTTGGGAGATCTTTGCACTGTCAATATGCTAATGATCTTGTCTGAAACCTTTGCCACTTGGCTACGAAGAAAAGGGTGTTTGCGCCACCCACTCACCTGGTCTGGAGGAGGTGAGCTGGTCCCTGGAGGCACAGGTTACGCTGGCGAAGCTGACCATAGGCCAGCTCATGTCTGGAAGGTGTGGCCAGTTCTGGGTAGATGGTCTTCTGGTACCAGCCAAACCCACGACACTTCAGCCTTGACCGCAGCTCCTTTCTATCTCCAATGCTGTGGATACATGAAATTTACATTATGATTACAGACATATATGTGTGGACCAAGGTTTAACTACTATAACTGCAGATACACAAACATAGGAAACCAGGCTACAGAGGACTATGAAAAAGCAATAAGTTTTGTTAGAAGTATACTAGTAAAAGAAACAGGAAGATAACATGTCATGGGGTTATAGGACCCAAAATGTATTATGTACTTAAGTAGCAGTTAAAGACTCATTTTTTGTACCTAATTATATTAAACTGCTAGGGGGCGCAACTGCCAATGTGTCAAAACACTGGGTTAAGGCCACAAGGGAGAAAGGAGTAATAATTGTTTCAGATGATACCATGTGATTAGATGCCCATGTGGTGGAAGGCTAAGCCAAACTACTTAAAACATGTATATGCTGTAAATATTTATCCATTGAATATACGTGTATATAATTATTTTTTGTAGAACAGTGTTTTAAATAACCTATTCTGACAGAAGGAATAAGTTTTCAGAAACTGGGATGGACTTACCATGAGTGTAAGTGTTCCCCTAGACTTTAAAAGACATTAATGAGATTCCTTACACCAGAGCATATAGTGAGAACTGTACCGTCAAAGTAAAAAGGGCAAACTACATAAGACAATCCAAGGAATGATGGAGAGACTAGACAAAGTATCAAAAATATTCAGTCCCGTAGCTCGATCGCTAGTGCGCTCAGTTCACACACTGAGGTCTGGGGTTCGAATCTATTCCAGTATGGCTGGAAAACATTAGGGAAGCGTTACCATAAGACACCTGCTGTCCCTGTTCACCCATCAGTTCAAAATGGATACCTGGGTTTTAGTTGACTGGCGTAGGTCACGTCCTGGGACAAAGCTAACCTAACTTGCCCGAAATGCTTAACCTATCAAGCGGCTTTCTAAATAGTAGCATGTTATTGATGTCAGATAGGCCTGTATACCATGTACCTGGAGTTTACCTGGAGAGGGTTTCGGGGATCAATGCCCTTGCAGCCCGGTCTAAGACCAGGCCTCATGGTGGGTCAGGGTCTGATCAACCAGGCTGTTACTGCTGGCTGCACACAAGCTGATGTACAAACCACAGCCCAGTTGGTCAGATACTGACTTTAGGTGCCTGTCCAGTGCCTTCTCGAAGACAGCCAGGGGTCTATTGGTAATCCCCCTTATGTATGCTGGGAGGCAATTGAATAGTCTTGGGCCCTGGACACTTATTGTGTTCTCTTAAGTGTACTTGTGGTGCCCCTGCTTTTCAATGAGGGAATGTTGCATCTCATGTTAAGTCTTCTGCTTTTATAGGGAGTGATTTTCGTGTGGAGGTTTGGTACCATTCCCTCCAGGACATGTACTTATACTTGTAGTAAATATAGATATTATTATATTATATTATTACAGTGGACCCCCTGTTATCGGCCATAAACTGTTCCAGAAGTCTGGCCTAAATCTGAAATGGCCAAAAACCAAAGTAATATTTCCCATAAGAAATACTGTAATGTAAATCCAATTAATCCATTCCAGACACCTAAAAATATTAAAAAAAAAAAAAAAAATACATTTTTTAAAGAATACCTATTTTTACATACAGAAAACAATGAGAAAGAAATATAAAGCAGCAATTTTAATAATAAATGAACATTACATACCTTTATTGAAGACTCTTGTTGGAATATGGAAGAAGGCGAGGAGGGGAGAGGGAGGAGAGTTTATTGTTTGGAAGAGAAATCCCCCTCCTTTAAGGACTTCAGGTATCGAAGCCCTCTTTGAGGTTACTTCCCTTCTTTGTCTTTTACTGTCATTAGGACCAGCTTGAGAGTCACTGCACCCCAGTCGCACAAAAAATCTGTCTCGAGGGCCCTGTTTCTGGCATCTCTTTAAAATTTGCCTAAAATGGGACAAGACATCGTCACTGAACGTGTTGCAGACACAACTTGCAACAGTTTTGTCAGGGTGATAATTCTCTGCACAACTTTGCACCTCACTCCACTTTGCACAAATGTCCTTAATCACTGAAGAAGGCACATTTTCCCCCTCTCTTCCTCCTCTGATGCAATATCTTCAGCTACAGTCTGTTGTTGTTCCTGTTGAAGGTGTTGCAGCTCTTCAGTGGTTAGCTCTTCCCTGTGGTCATCCACCAACTCTTCCACATCCTCGTCACTCACATCCAACCCCATGGACTTCCCCAAAGACACAATAGACTCCACAATAGGCGTAGGGTTGTCAGGGTCAGCCTCAAACCCTTCAAAATCCTTGTCGAGGGCATATTCTGGCCACAATTTTCTCCAAGCAGAGTTCAAAATCCTAGAAGTCACTCCCTGCCAAGCTTTATCTGTAAGGCTTATGCAATGGAGGATACTGAAGTGATTCCTCCAGAACTCTCTTAGGGTCAATTCAGTGTCCAAGGTCACTTCAAAGCATCTTTGAAACAATGCTTTGGTGTACTGCTTTTTGAAGTTTGAAATGACCTGCTGGTCCATGGGCTGGATGAGAGGAGTGGTATTAGGGGGGCAAGAACTTCATTGTGATGAACTTACACTCCTCAAACAACAGGTCTTCCAAGTCTGGAGGATGAGCAGGAGCATTGTCCATTACCAGGAGGCACTAAGTGGAAATTCACTTTCCAGGAGGTATTTCTTCACACTCGGGCCAAACACTTCAATGACCCACTCAATGAAAATTAGCCTCGTGACCCATGCCATATTGTTAGCCCTCCACATCACACATAATTTACGCTTCATGACATTGTTTTTCTTGAACACTCGGGGATTTTCAGTGATACGCGAGTAAAGGCTTCACTTTGAAATCCCCACTAGCGTTACCACAGAACAAAAGAGTTAACCTATCCTTCACAGGCTTGTGTCCTGGCAATGCCTTTTCCTCCTGCATGATGTAGGTCCTCTTTGGCATTTTCTTCCAAAAGAGGCCTGTTTCATCACAAATGAACAATTGTTGGGGAAGGAATACTTCAGCCTCTACGTACCCCTTGAATTCATCAATGAATGCTTCGGCCGCACATTTGTCAGCACTTGCAGCCTTGCCATGCCTTACAATACTGTGTATGCCACTACGCTTCTTGAATCTGTCGAACCAGCCTTTGCTGACCTTAAATTCACTAACAACAGCACTCATTCCTGGCATTTTCTTTATGAGATCTGCATGCAACTGCCTTCCTCTCTTGCAAATTATCCCCTCCGAAACACTATCTCCCACTAATTGTTTCTTGTTGGCCCACACCAACAACAACTTCTCCACATTCTCAATTGTTTGAGACCTCTGTTTTGTTAGCATATTTACACCTTTTGCAACATCAGCTTCCTTGATTTCTGCTTTCTTCAACAGGATGAAACTGACTGTTGAAGTAGATTTCCCATACATCCTAGCCAGCTCCACCACACGTACAACACTTTCATATTTTGTAATAACTTCTTTCTTGAATCCTATCGTGTTTCTCACCTTCTTTACCAAAGGGCTGGCACTCTGAACTTCCTTTGGCCCCGTGGTGGTTTATCTCACAGTTGCAATCAATAAACAAGCACCAAAAACAATAGATGAACGCACGGAGTATTCCTAACCCAACGAGAAGATACACGCAGACTGAGTGTGATACATGTGAGGAAGCGCATTGCCAGATGGTGGACACATCTCATACCAATGATTTCCAAGCGGATGGATGAAATCCGGGGGTAAATTTCGCCAAAAAAAGTCCTTGATTTCCAAATTAGCCAATTTCCGCACTGGATGATATCCGGGGGTCCACTGTATTATATTATGCAGGGCTGGATTTAGACCTTGGGAGGCCCTCAACATGGAAATTAAATTGAATTACAATTAAGAAATTAAGTAAAATGAATGATAAACAGCAGTCTTCCAAAAAAATATGTTAGGTTTTGAAGAAGATGCCTGATTTTTTCTCAATTTTATTGACTTTAAGAATAACTCTGACCATAATTTTCAGTTTGTAATGTATTCCATCTACACTATACAATAACTACCAATGTGTATTTATTTATATCTTTGGTGTCATGCTTTCGATATCTTTTCTTTCTTTCATCCCACCGAGGCGGGGTGGCCCAAAAGGAAAAATGAAAGATTCTTCTTTTACATTTAGTAATATACACGGGAGAAGGGGTTACTAGCCCCTTGCTCCCGGCATTTTAGTCGCCTCTTACAACACGCATGGCTTATGGAGGAAGAATTCTGTTCCACTTCCCCATGGAGATAAGAGGAAATAAACAAGAACAAGAACTAGAAAGAAAATAGAAGAAAACCCAGAGGGGTGTGTATATACATATGCTTGTACATGTATGTGTAGTGTGACCTAAGTGTAACTAGAAGTAGCAAGACGTACCTGAAATCTTGCATGTTTATGAGACAGACAAAAGACACCAGCAATCCTATCATCATGTAAAACAATCATAGGCTTTCATTATACACTCACTTGGCAGGATGGTGGTACCTCCCTGGGTGGTTGCTGTTTACCAACCTACTACCTACAGTATCTATCTATATACGTGTATATATTTTTATATAATAATTTGGTAATGGGCTGGCCAACCGACTGACCGACCAACTAGATATTTAAGTTAAAATAGTATAATTTATGAAAGAAAGAAACCAAAACCGTCTAACTTCGAGAAAGAAATTAATTCAATCCCTCTATTTGTAAAAATTAACCCTATTAGGAGAGCGCCAGCTTATAATGGCCAAGAAAGGGTTCTTCACCTGTTTTTTACTTTTCAGTTAATGCACCTTGGATCTTAAAGAACACTTCAAATATTAATTCTCTTATGGTCATGCACCCCTAGGACATGTAAAGTAAAAGGACACAAGTGCAACTAATGTGACATTTTATTGTGGCAACGTTTCGCTCTCCAGGAGCTTTATCAAGCCATTACAAACAATACATGGACACAGAGGGTATATAAAGGCTCAGAGTGAGGTGCAATACTAGTGAGGTACCATTTCGATGTTCACTGTAGTAGTTGTAGCATTAATCGTACTATA